AGGGGTACCAGATAATTTTTTTGAAAGTATTGGAGGAATGTCAAATTTCTAGAAATACTACGGCGATTCTCCTTTTTGTTCTTCAGTGATAATGAAAAACCATAAAAACATGGAAATTTTTTTATAAATTTTCTTACATTTAAAATAAATCAACTAAAAACTAAATTCGCAATATTTGACTTTTTTAAAGCATATTGTTTAATTTAATTAATATTGAAAGAAATAAAAATTCTTTGCACATAAAACAAAACAAGTGTTAGTGCAAGGAATTACAATGTTTCATGTGATCGGTTAGTGAAAGGACATCAGTAATTTATAAAAATTATTCTAATTGACAATCCTAGTTAAAATCATTTTTAGAAAAAAATAATTATTAAATTATTAAAATAAAAATAATACATTTTTTACTATTTCAAAAAAAACGTTTTTCTCTCAATGCCCAGATAGCACGTTATTTCGCGGCGAGTTCGCAGCGAGTTCGCAACGCAAAATTCGGTAAGTCGCATTGCGAATTCCCTGTGAAGTAATGGTGAATATCAAAATGTCCTCCTACTGGCGAGTTCGCTTTGCGAACTCGTCGAGAAGTTACAATGCGAACTAACTGAAAAGTATAAATGCGAATTAACTAAAAAGTATATATGAGGCACTCCACGTCAAGTGATCCGGGTCTAAATTTTAATTACCTGGGATCAGGTTTAAAGTTTGCTTAAACTTTAGTCCTACTAGATACAACTTCAAGTACCAAAGATTATTAATTTATTTAAACAATTGTAAAAAGGGGAGGGAGTCAAAGTTTCAATTTTTTGCTCTACATCGTATATTTCAAAAATCTGCAATTCCTTTAAAACATAACAAAAGAATATTTATTATATATGAATTTTTTTGCATTTTTTACGCACTTTCTAATGGTATAAACAATTTTTCGAAAAAAAAATTTTTTGACCTTGGAAAAATAAAATTAAAAATAAAATTTTGATTTTTGAAAAAAAGACATCTTTTTTTAACTTTTTTATTTTTTTTTCATAATGTTAAGATAATTTCCAAAAAAAAATATATAGGGCAAAAAGTGGGACGAGAACTTTTAAAGGGTCAAATTTAGCGATGATTTCTGCGGTGCGACATTGTCGTGCCCTGACAGTGTTTGCTTAGTTTTGATACAGTTCTTTCTGCATCCGCTAGGTGTCGACAAGAATGTATATGAAATTCTCTTGCTGGTGAGATTGAAACTAATAAGTATAAGTATAGAAGACTCTTGATTTTAAAATAATTGGTTTTCTTAGTCTTCTATACTTATACTTATTAGTTTCAATCTCACCAGCAAGAGAATTTCATATACATTCTTGTCGACACCTAGCGGATGCAGAAAGAACTATATCAAAACTAAGCAAACACTGTCAGGGCACGACAATGTCGCACCGCAGAAATCATCGCTAAATTTGACCCTTTAAAAGTTCTCGTCCCACTTTTTGCCCTATATATTTTTTTTTGGAAATTATCTTAACTTTATGAAAAAAAATAAAAAAGTTAAAAAAAGATGTCTTTTTTCAAAAATCAAAATTTTATTTTTAATTTTATTTTTTCAAGGTCAAAAAAATTTTTTTCGAAAAATTGTTTATACCATTAGAAAGTGCGTAAAAAATGCAAAAAAATTCATATATAATAAACATTCTTTTGTTATGTTTTAAAGGAATTGCAGATTTTTGAAATATACGATGTAGAGCAAAAAATTAAAACTTTGACTCCCTCCACTTTTTACAATTGTTTAAATAAATTAATAATCTTTGGTACTTGAAGTTGTATCTAGTAGGACTTAAGTTTAAGCAAACTTTAAACCTGATCCCAGGTAATTAAAATTTAGACCCGGATCACTTGACGTGGAGTGCCTCATATATACATCTACACATATACATATACACATACCTACATACACATACATATATTCAAACAAATACAATTTCATAAATACATATGCGAATAATACTGTCTAATTTGTAAAAGAGTAACATAAACATGCATAGGTATACCTGACCCAATTAAGAAAATTTGTTGATATTATAAATTATACTTTTATGGGAATAAAAAAAACATTTGATTTGATAATTAACATACAAACATAAGTCTTTCAACTATTTTTAAAAATTCCAAAGTAATACTGAAATTTTAAGTAAATTGAATTTCCCACAGAAATTAAACTGTTAATTAATCGAAAAGGTTAATAAATTTAAATTTTAGTACCGATTATTTTTTAAATTAATTAATTAATTGACAAATGCTTCTAATTTAAATGTCATAAAAAGGGTCTCATGGAATCTATCATGTCCAAGCTCTTCACTTTACCAGGACTGCACATTATATTTCAATAGATAGTCTAATTATTATTATACATATATATACACCCTCTTTTTTTTATTCCCTCTTCCCTTTTTTTTAAAAAGAATGCTTTTGAAAATTTTACTATAGGTGGAGAATGTTTTTTTTTTAATTTAGAACAAATGGGTAGATTAAAAATAAAATAATAAATTATTTATAAGAAAATATTATATATTTAAATTAGATACCTCTGATCTACAAAATAGTCATATAATATATATACGCATCAGTACATATGTAGTTTTTGGTTGCTTTGCTCTTTTTTTTAAATAAATTATCATTAAACTAGTCAGTCTCACTGATTTTAGTATAATAATACTGTTCCAGTAGCACCTTTATAAACTACATTACTGCAAAATAAAAAAAAACTGCCCTCTATTTAAAATAAAAAAAAAATTTAAGAAGAAACAAAAAAAAATATTAAATAAGTCCGAACTTAAATTTTTGTTTAACTCGATACAAATGATTAATTAGAAAATATAAAAATAAGAAAATATAAAAATAAGAAAATTCTTTTCTCATTTTAAAAAAGAAACGTTATTATAATAAAAATAATATTAAAGTTGTTTGTAAAAAAAAAGGAAATTAAAATCACTTTTAACCTCTTGGAAGAGGTTCGGGTTCTTCAATGAAAATTTCCTGCACTTCGTGTGGACGATGTTGAAAGTGCTCCCAGTTATTTGCATAAATTTTGCGGCAATGGACACAATATTCTGATGACATTGTAGTTTTTTCCAGCTCTTTATGGCAGTTCCCGCAAAAAAAGCTGCCCATGATAACCCTTTATCTCGCATTTCAGGCGTTATCATTTGATGATATAAATATTGCCTATAGGGAACAAGTGGTTCAGCAGGCAGATTCTCTCTCTCCTGCCAAGCTTTTACTTGTAAACTCATTGCCGAGGAATAGATGGCACAATCTCGACAGACTTTATCAGTGACCGATTGATAATAAGTATAAGATTCGTGATAATAATCACGAAAGCCTCCCCAAAACAAATTATCATAGTGAGGCACAAATGTAAGATTTTCGGCTCTGTGAACCTCCTGAGCCGTCCTTTGCATGCTCGGAATCTAATAATAATAATATAAATAATTATATACATGTATATATACACATATGCGATGAAATGCATATTTTAATATTTATACATGCATAGTTAAACTAATTTAAAGGCTTACACCAGGATTTTCTACGCCCTTTTATTTATAACAATACTTACAATGTTTAATTTCCTCAGGTGAAAGTCGTGGAGACCGAGCCAAAACATAATTAATTTCAAAATTCTATTAAGGAAAGAAGAGAGAAGAGTCAATTTTTTTTTTTTTTGCGTTAGACAATTTTGTCAGGTGAGACAGGAAGCAAAAGAAAAAAAACAATATTTTTTCTTACCCTTTTAAGTGTCCCATCAGGGCGAAAATTATTTTTAATGCTGAAATATGGCATTTAGCCTTTGGTAATAATAAATTTGAACTTCGTCAATATAGAAAATGTACGACTTTTGCGTTTTAGATTTCAACAGATAATAATAGACTTAGTAGAAGAGTATTATATGTGTCCAGGCAATTTAATGAGACCCAAGGCGCTATCACATGCACATTCTAGTGACGACATCCCAAATGTGACACATCTAGAAGGATGGGAACGCATAATACGTAAAGCATTACACATGGGTTTGTACAGTAAAATAAGCTTACAGCGTACAAGAATATATTTTAAAAATAAGAAGTAGTGGATTGGGGTTATACATGCAACACGCATATTAATAAATATTATAGTATTATATACAGTATTATACAAGACAAAATTCAAAATACGCGGGACTGCGTAACACTGCATATTAAAATCCGTGTAACGAAAATACGGTCAGATGATGTCATAAAATGAAAGTATATGTTTGTTTTTATTCCTCTCACTACTTGACGCAAATGCAGCGTTGGAACTTAATCATGAGACAACTTAAAGGTGATATCACACACAATTTCAACTAGAATATGCCAAATGTGACACAAAATTATCCCTAAAATAATTTTATGCATTTTTACGATTAAGATAAACTATTCAACTGTATTATTATTCATATTTTACTATTTCGCATATAAATTCACACATACATACACATACATACCAACTTTAAAGGCAAATTAGCTAAAGATCTTTTATTTCTTTACCTTCTGTTCCGCCATATTTAATTTTAAATTTAAAGTGTAAACTAATTATTTATTGTTCTTTTGAATTTATTATAATCTAATAAATGCATGTTTAACACGATTTACATGCACTATTTTCTTTTCTTTAGCATTAATTTCTATTTCTATATTTAAATCATTAATAATTCTAGTTACTTTAAATGGACCAAGGTAATGATCTTCAAATTTATTTTCTCGGGATTCTTTTATTAAATAAACATATTCTCCTTCTTCAAAATTTTGTTCATTTAGTTTTTGGTCATAATATTTCTTACATCTTTGCTTTGCTGCTATTAATCTTGTAACTACTGTACTTTCCGTTTCAGATATTCGTTTTAATAATTCATTAACAAAACATGCATAAGTCATGCAGGATTTGTTTTTCAGAGAATTAAGATGGAATTCTGGCTTTTTTACCAAAAATCATTTCATGCGGTGTAACACCAGTTGATTCATGAACAGAAGTGTTAAAGGAAAATATTGAAGATTGTAACCATAAATCCCAATTATCCTTTTCGCAATAATGTCTAAGATATTCAATAAATGTGTGATGACTTCGTTCCAATGCTCCCAATGATTGTGGATGATAGGCAGTCGATTTATATTGTTTAATCTTAAGGGGTTATGCCACTCTAGGATTTTCAAAAAATCGCTTTTTTTTTTTTGCTTTAAATAGTTCCTTAGGGTCTCAGAAATAACATATTGCAGGATTATGGCTCGGAAAGATCTCTAAATAATTTATTTTCGAAGTTCCTTGCAAGGCTGCACGGTACGCGGCGAGCTCATTTTGTAAGTTCTACGGGGGGTAATATTTGAAGGATCTACAGCAGGTATACGGCAGATGTTTTCAAAGGCGCTAGTTACTTGCTAGACTATAGTGGTCAATTATATGGTGCAGGCATTGCAGATTAAAGGTATTGTGAAATTATTTAAGTTTTTTACAACTTAAAACTTTAAACGCGTTTATCTCCAAACTACATTTTTCGAGTTGGCCGAACCAACAACTCGTACAATTTCCAACCGATTAGGTTCAAATTTGACACACATCTTTAAAAATACATTTTTTAAGGTATCACGTAGGATTTTTTTTTTATTCTATATAGTTCATTTGTTATTAACTATTAACTGATGGTTTTTTAGTCGAAATTAGAAAGTTTAACTTTAGAAGTGCGCCATTTGATCATGAATTAATATATCGAAAAAATCCTACGTGTTACTTTAGCTATTGTAATATATAATAAAAAAAAATTTAGATAATCAAGATATTTTAAAATTTACAGGAGCAGTTAGTTCGGCCACGTACCCCTTGAACCATAGAGGAGTCGAAGGACGACCGCTACAGCGCCACCATTCTTCAAGAAATATTTATAAGAAATTATTTTTTTACACCTAAAAAGATGTATAATAAACTTCTTATATTATATTTTTAATTGACTTTATGGTTTTTCTAAAAAAAATTCACATAAAACACCTATTTTTTCGGTCTCTAGAGTGGCATAACCCCTTAAACAATTTCGCAATATTTTCCATCAATTCACTCATAAACTGACCTCCCTGATCAGTTTGGATAGATTCTGGACAACCAAACACACAAATAAAATTTTCTACAAAAGCAATTGCAATTGAGGGAGTATCTACACTAGATAGTGGAATTGCTCCTGAATATTTACTCAAACAATCCTGCCAAGTCAAGATATATTTGTTTCCTAATTTTGTTCTTGGTAGGGGTCCAACAATATCCATTTGTATTTTCTCAAAATTTCTAATTGGTGTATCTGTAATTTCCATTGGTTGCTTAGTTTTTACTCATACTAATTTTTTTCTTTGACAAGATGCACATGTTGTAATATAATTTTGAATATCTTTTCTCATTCCTGTCCAAAAGTACCTTTCTTTTATTCGTTCGAGGGTTTTGGTTTCCCCTTTATGTCCTCCTGTAACACTATCGTGACATTCCTCTATTATTGATAGTCTCACTTCTTCTGCAGGGATCTCTATTTGTCCTGTGCAAACAGTAATTTTATAATCCTTATCTTGAAAATTATCTCTTAATATTTTTTCAATATTAATCCATAAAACTTTGTCAAAACCATTTCCATCCCTTGATAAACTAAATTTTCGAAGCCCATCATGAATTAATGCATTTTTTAAAGTTTCTATAGTAAATTTATATCCTTCCATTGTAAATCTATCATTAAATAACTCTTTTATGAATAAATGAAAAATATAATGATTACCGTTATTTGTTCTGATGACTTGACCTAATTTTGGTTTTAAATTTATCAAATTTTGTAAATCAAACAATCCTAAATTTAATAATTCAATGCCTTGCTGATTTTTAACTACACAATCACAACTCATGAAATTTAAAATATGATCCTCACGCATCCATAATCTTTCTTTTGACTTTTGAATTAATTCATCTGTATCATTAATATCTTCAATTACCCCGCCATCATTACTAATTAATATACACGCTTCTCTCTTGAAACCCTTATTTACCTTAAAAATTTCCTTTTTCTTAGTTTCCAAAATCATACTACCATCCGATTCATCTGAATCATCATAGTCTACAATCTTTGAATTTCTTGTTAAAATTAAATTTTCTGTTTTTATGCTCAACCATGGATTTTTCTCATTTTCTTTTTCAACTTCAACCTTGTTCTCTTTACGCGAACAAGTACATTCATCATTTGGGTACCCAATTTTACCACACAAATTTCCGTGTGCACTACCATCAACACATATATTGACAAATCCGTCGGAATTCCCAGGGTGAACTTGATCAAGGTCCACCTCGCATTGCCCCCCGCAACATTTGTCAAATAATACACAATCCTCAACGAGTCCAACGGAATGCCCAGGATGAACCCGATCTGGTGGGTCCAACCCAGATTGCCCCCCGCAACACTCGTCAAGCTCAAAACATTTATATCCCATAAAAAGTCTTTCTATAGGATATTCATCATAAATCATATATGGAGAATACTCCTCTCCTCTGTTTTCACAAACATTATCAAATCTTTTTGTTACATGGACTTTATTTTCAGAAATAGGATTTCGAAAGAGAGCATCAGCATTTGAATTTACCCTTCCCGGTCTATAAACAATTTCATAATCAAATTCCTCTAACTTTATTTTCCATCTTGCTAATCTTGAACTAATAGTCGGATCTTTCAACTGATATAACCAAACCAATGCTTTATTATCCGTTACTATTTTAAACTTCATTCCATAAAGATACGGTCGAAAATGTTTTACTGCAAACACAATTGCTAACAGTTCTTTCTCTGTAGTAGTATAATGTAATTCTGCCCCACTTAAAGGTGCTTATATACCTCAAATTTCGATCAGATGAACATTATTTCTGGACCGTGAAAATGCGTGAAAAGTCATTTTCACGGCGGGTATTTTTGAATTGTTTTAAACAAAAAATGTTTTTTTAAGAAATATAATATTAAATAATTGTTTTAATATGTAAGAACACTTTAAAATAGTGATAGAGAGATGATTTGATTAAAAAATTCAGCAAATTTTGCTTTAAAACGTTTTCTGCTACAAGAAAGTGTAAAATGACGATGTTTGTGAAATGGTTTGTACAGTGCTTCTTCCTTGTGAGTGTCTCTCAGAGTTTTGTTTATGTTATGTCGGTTCTTTTTAACTTGTAATAAATAATGAGTGCTGAAAATAAATCGGTAAGTTGAAATGTTTATCAAATAAATTTAAATTCAACTAATTGTTTCGAATAACTGAAAGAAACATGTACACTGTACAAACCATTTCACAAACATCGTCATTTTACACTTTCCTGTAGCAGAAAACGTTTTAAAGCAAAATTTGCTAAATTTTTTAATCAAATCATCTCTCTATCACTATTTTAAAGTGTTCTTACATATTAAAACAATTATTTAATATTATATTTCTTAAGAAAACATTTTTTGTATAAAACAATTCAAAAATACCCGCCGTGAAAATGACTTTTCACGCATTTTCACGGTCCAGAAATAATGTTCATCTGATCGAAATTTGAGGTATATAAGCACCTTAAGGTTCTGGATGCGTAAGAGATCGGTAAATCTTTTCCAATTTCTCCTTGACTGAAGGCCTTTCTCCAATAGGATCCTAAACTCTTGCGTTGCGTATGCATTGCGTCGGTTGCTATTGGCAACCAATGCTAAAATCAACGCGTCAGTCACGCAACGCAAAAGTTTAGGTTCCTATTGGAGAAAGGCCTTCAAAACAGCACCAATAGCAAAATCTGAAGCGTCGGTAGTCAAAATGAACTGTTTACTAAAGTCTGGGTATTGCAATAAAGGTTGCGCACACAACTTCTGTCTCAGCTCATTAAAGGCTACTTCTACCTCAGAAACCCAATTAAAATTATTCTTTTTCTTTAATAAGTTTGTTAAAGGTTTTGCAATTTTAGAAAAATTCTGAATAAAACGTCTATAATAACCCGCTAATCCAAGAAATTGTTTTACATTCTTTCTATTTTTTGGTTGTGGAAATTTTTATACTGCTTCTAATTTCGCAGGATCAGGTTTGACTCCATTTTCCGAAATTATATGACCCAAGTAACCTATTTCCTTACACAAGAATTTACATTTATCTGGTTGTAAAACCAATCCTGCTGTTTTTAGTCTACCTAATAATTTTTCAAATTTTTCCTTGTGTTCTTTAAATGAATTTGCATATATCACTATATCGTCCATATAAACAAATAATTCTATCCCTTGCATTCCTGATAATATTCTATCCATTAATCTTTGAAAGGTAGAAGGGCTATTTTTTAACCCGAAAGGCATTCTGTTAAATTCATAACGACCAAAAGGTGTAGAAAAGGCCGTTTTATGTCTATCCTTAGGATCAACCTCTACTTGATGAAATCCTTGTGCTAAATCCAAAATAGTAAAATATTTAGCTCCTCCAAGCTGATCCAAAATTTCTGTGATGTTAGGTAGTGGATATTTCGGTTCCATTTTCGATAATCAATTACCATACGCCAACGCTTGTTTCCTTGAGAATCTGCCTTTTTAGGAACAATCCATACAGGTGAGTTATATCCAGATTTTGAGGGTGATATTGACTCATTTTTAAGTAAGTCAGTTGTTTGTTTTTTAATTTCTTCTTTATGAACAGGTGGGTATCGTGGATATTTACTATTTACTGGATTGTTATCAGTCGTTTCTATTGTATGTTGAATATATTTTGTACAACCTAATTTATCTCCTGGGATATGAAATTGATATGGAAAATTTCTAATAGATGTTAATAAATATTCTTGTTCTTCTTTGTTTAAGTTACTAATTTCCAACAATTCCTTTAATTTTTCAATTCTTTTTTCATCTGTTTCATTTTGTTTTGGCGCCCTTTTCCTAGGTTCCACTTCAGTGTAATCAAATAACTCTACTGGAGGTATTGTAATTACTACTTCCTGATTAGTAGTATTTGTAATAAATACTCGTGCCATTCCTTCATTCACTGAAACTAATGCTTCTCCTAAATATATTCCAGGTCCGGTGGGTATTAATGGTAAGTATCCTGTTTTTAACTCATTATTTGTTACTGGTAATTTAATTAATTGTTTTGATCGTCTTTTTAATTTAACCACTGTTCTCTTGTTTACAGTTAAAATTTGGAATTTTCCAATATCATGGATTAAACTTTTTTCTTTCATATTTATTGTAGCATTTTGTAAAAAAGGCATTCCTATTATTCCATCAGATTTAATAGGGAATTCATTTGGTACAACGTGGAATTTCTGAATTTCATTTTTAATTAGAATTTCTACTGATCCGATTGTAGTTATTCCATTACTACCTATTCCAAATAATTGGCATCTTTCCTTTTTGTTTATTATTAAATATTGTTTTAAAGTATTAACTTTTATTAAATTCAATTCGGCACCTGTATCTACTACTAATGTTACTTTTTCGTTTTTAAAATTTTCATTATAGATTTCTACTTCCGGTGACTTTATATTTTCCTTGTATGGCACCATCATTACTATACGCTTAGTGAGTGCTTCATCATTTTTAACAGATTCAATATTGCACCCTTATGTTGAATCTATTATATGTTTTTTGAATCTTCTTCTTTTAGTTCCTGACCATTTTTTATTTCTTTTTGTCGCGGAAAACAATTTTCATATTTATGCCCTGGTCTTTTACAATAACCGCACATTCCCCAACATTTTTCAGCTATATGCCCCATCATTTTGCACTTTGTACATTGTCTCTCCTCGGGTTTATTATTTTGCAATTCTGGACAGTGAATTTTATGATGTCCTTCCTTGCCACAATTAAAACAATTAATTACTTTTCTACAATTTTCTTTAACATGACCCGGGTTATTACAATTAAAACAAAATTTTGAATTCCACAATCTTTTCTAACATGACCTTCTTTACCGCATTTATAACACTGAATAG